ACCAGCATCATTATTCACTGATTCCGTGCATAACTCTGCGCAAAAACAGATGGCCAACCAAATTACACCAATTGACAAATACTGGGCACAGTTTGAACAATTTCTTAATCAAATAATTGGTAATCTTATGAAACTAATTAATTAATCTCGCTCATGACACTTGTTTTTTTCACCTCAACCAAGACCTTACACATTTAATTAATTAAAATAATTAATACAGCCAATTATGACTATTGAATATATATATGAAATAAATTAATGTTAAAAATAATTAATTGAAATTATAATAATAACATTTAGTTTAAAAACATGTATACATGCTCTCAAGCAATCACAATAAAAAGAATAAAACTGTAAATATAAAAATTACAACATTTGTAGAATAAAACTGAAAATTCGTAATCATTTTTGGAAACAGATGAAAATAAATTCCCTTAGGCGGGGGTATTGTCTTTAAGGAAAAAATTTAAATTATTATTAATAAAACAATTTAAGTCAATTTTGTGCCCAAGGAGAAACCAATTTTGATGTAAGGTTAACTAACGAGTTTTAAATTTGTTTGAATCCCTCTAGTAATTTTTGTTCAGTCATGTAAGTCATTTTACAATTTGCGGAATAATCAATTTTTCTTATTTCCCATAAATTATTTACTAATATCATCAAACACATTCCTCTAGATGAAAAAATGATCAACATATTTAAGACTGAAGATCATCAGCCTATATGACTATAAATAAACAATAATGAACTAAATATTATAAGTTTAAATTAGTGTTATGCATAATTGAAATGGAAATTTTAAACCAGGGTTAATGCGTTTTAAATTGGTAAGAGGCAGGCTATTCTGTGATCGTTTGTGATTGCCACGAGCGTGATATGCTGTATACTTGTTTGTTAACCAATAATTATTAAATGTGTCCATGAGATCTGATATTTACATTCCTAAAAAACCGATGAAACAACGCACATTAGTAATTATCGCCAGCATGCAATCAGGGCCTATTTTTTGCTGTAAATTAGTCATTTGTATTTGTTTCTATTAAAACAAATTAAAGAAGACCTTTGTGAAATGTGCAGAATAATCAAATTGCCTTAAATTAAGTATTTAAAAAAAAAATTGTATGATATAATTTAATGCCAATGATCAAAGTTTTCAAATTTGTGAAACTAGTCACGTTTTTTTTTTTTTTTTTCCACTTTCAGACCTATTTCATAGGTTTGACATAATCATACAGTCTCACTGCTTAATTAACTTAACTAACTTCATAGTTAGAAATCATGAGTACAAATTCTAACTTTTTTTTATCCCTTCAAAACTGGTTAAAGTCACTTGTTGCATATAGTACAGTACATTCAACGACTTCGGACCTCCTGTGAAACACATCATAAATACCTATTTATGCATATGAGAATACATGGAATTTTTTTACAGAAAATGAAGATAATTTTACATGTTTGTTTTGTAATCAATTATGGTTTTATGTAACATTTTTCCTATTTAATTGTTACTGAAATTTCCTTTTTTTTTTTTTTTTTTTTCCCCACCACCAATTAAGCCTGTACCACAATAAATTTGCTTTAAAATAACAGTATAGAACTGAACATAATAAAAAACAACAATATCAACACCGTGAGAATTTTGTTCCAGTTGATAGCAAGGTACTTCAAGGAAAGAAATATAAGAGAGGTTGTCTGCAAGGATTTGTGCTGGGACCTATTTTTTAGAATATAATTTTTGATGTGTTTTTAGAACTATTGCTTTTGTTATTGACCTCATAGTAATTATATAGGAGAAAGATTAATGGAAACAGCGGAGGTAGCCTCTAAGTTAATTTCCGAATGGTGCTATCAAACCAACTTAAAAATGTACTACTGAAAAATGCCATACATTGATCATGAAAGGCTAATTAAATATACCCCTAATAATCCGAATAGAAGGAAAGCAAGTCAAACAGAATAAAAAGGTAAAACACCCAGGAGTAGTATTGGAAGATTTGGCAAGGTTAAGTAGAATCAGTAAAGCAAAATGTTGTATAGGACCTAAAGCATTATCAACAGTTTACAAAAGCATTTATTTCTCAATAGCCTCATACGGGGCTGCTGTCTGGTTTCCTAGCCTAAATATAAAGTCAAAATTTGAACAAAGCCAAAGAATGGCATTGCTGCAGGAAGCTAAAGGATATAAAACAATGTCAACACCGACGCTTCAGGTAGCAGTAGGAGTAAATCCAGTCAATTTATTGATAAGTGTAAAAGTTATGATAAACCAAAGAAAAAAAGAAGAATAGGAAGAAGACATATAGTTTAGTACAACAAGAGATAGCTCAAAAATACTTACAGAAATGAAACTTTTCCTTGAATTGAAAATGTTGAACAATTATTAAAATATTAAATTCACTAATTTTCGTGGTCCGCTTGACCAATTAATATATTTCAATTATTTAAGGTTTTTAGTTGAGATAAAAAAGTCAGTGTCAAGAGCGGGATTCGAACCCACGATCTTCGGCTAGATACGCCGCTACTCTACCACTTGAGCTATCAACTCGGACACTAACTTCCCATCTCAACCTCACCTTTTGAATTTTTCCTCCTTTTTGCCATTTTTCATATGTCGTGTAATCTATTTGATTCTCGGCAACAAATGAAATGGCCACGGAGAGCTTTTAGTAAAGGTATACTTCATGTTAACTTAGTAAATTCAATAGTTTTCGTGGTCCACTTGACCAATTAATATCTTTCAATTAATTAATTAATTAAGGTTTTTAGTTGAGATAAAAAAGAAAAATGGCACGAAAAATGGCAAAAAGGAGTGAAAATTCAAAAGGTGGGGTTGAGTGGGAAGTTCGTGCCTGAGTGGATCGAAGACAAGATAGCTCAAGTGGTAGAGCAGTGGCATATCTAGCCGAAGATCGTGGGTTCGAATCCCGCTTGTGACACTGACTTTTTTATCTCAACTAAAAACCTTAATTAATTGAAAATTATTAAATTGTTCAAAAGGTAGATTAACCTATGAATATTTTCCAAATGTAGTTCAGAGGATAGCCTTTACTTGGGTCTTTCCAGATCATTAGATAACCAAATTTTTACAGGTGATGCATAGAGTGTTTCAAGCATGATTATAGGTTTAAAAATACCAAAGTGTTAATTGTATGTATTGTGAGCCAAACCAAAATATTGAGATCAAACACAGACTTTTGATCTGTCTAAGATACAAGGTTACTCTTACTATAAGGATGGCCACCAATGTTAAATGATTTCATCAAAAACGAGGAAAAATACAAAGCCTTCAATGGGTTCGTGTTGGTGAGTTTTACACCAAGGAGGACACCTCTCTCCCCTTGTTTAACAACAATATTAATGATCTGAAATAGTGCATTAAAAATGGCAATTCCCTAATTTAGGCCAACAATTTAAAGTTTTATAAAACCATCAAAACCCTTCAGGATAGTTTTGAACTCCAGACTGAAACTCTACTCATGGAGTGTGTCAATGGAATAATTAATGGTGCTGAATATTAAGAAATGCAATATTATCTCTTACACATTAATTATGATTATACTATAGATAATGAGATAAAAGATCTCGGTGTCATTTTCAATAGTAAGTAGAATTTCAATTCTCACATCATCCATGTCAGCCCCATATCCAATAAACAAATTCAACAACTAGAAAAGATTCAGAACAAATTTCTAAAATACACAGCTTAGAAATTTAAAATTTCCCAGGCTATACATGACTACGTTAATATTTTGGATTCCTTTGATATCTTCACTTTGGAAAAGTTAAAAGTTTACTTCCTTTATAAACTTATGAATAATCAGAGTCTACCTTCTCTAGTTTCCTTATTTACTTTTCAAATTAGACTTTAATGTTCCCAGCTCTCATCCCGGGCACGAAATATACTTTATTTCCACCCATAAGACTAATTACATAAAAGAAGGTTCTTATTCACACCTCTCATACCAAGATAATATTGACATTTTAAATTGAAATTAATAATTATTTATAATATATAAAATTATAATTATTAATAATTATTGGACATTACTGTTGATTATTTCAGATAAATTTTGTTTGTATTCTGTCAATTATGTTAACTGATTATATTTATAGTTATGTTCTATTTAATAATTCACACTTCCAATTATTACAAATGATGAACATGTGGTAAGTTGTTTAATCTTTTTTAAAAGATAATTCTTACAGTTTGTTGTTTTCAGGATCCTTCAACTTGATAATGAATTAATTATCCTTTTTATCTAAGGTTTTTGGTTGAGATGAAAATGTCATGAGCAGGATACTAATTTTTCATCTCAACTAAAAACTAATTATTCAGAAATCGTGAGATGCGGTCTGGTGACCCCCAGACCACATCTCACGATTTCTGAATAATTATCGATTAACGGTCACTAATCAACACACATTTCAACTAAAAACCTTAAATACAAAGAATAAATATATTCAATTATAACCACTAATCAAATATGGATTAATCTGATGGTCAGCTTTAGGCTTGAAATCCTGATAGCTCAAAACAACCAACTATCTTCTAAAAAAACTTACAATTATTTGTTCTTTTACTGTAATTCTAGTTCAGTTATTTCTTTAATTACCTATTTATGTTTTACAATGAATCTCTATATTATCTTACTTAAGTATATTTGTAACTACTGTATATTTTTAGTAGGTTTTGCCTGTATAATAAATGGATAATAACTGTTGATGGTTTATTGGTTTATTATATTATAATAACTAATTGCATACAAAATTTCTGAGTTATGTGTATAAATTATCACTTAATTATTGAGATTTAAACATTGAAACGGTTAATTATGCTACAGCTTCAGCATGTACATGATGTTCAGCATATTTATGAGGGAACTTTTAAGAAAATGAAATAGTTTTATGTAGTTGGCTAAGTAGTACGCATGTTTGTCGTCACTAGAGGTCTAGCATGAGATCTGGGCGACCACGTGGTGGGCCTGAAGGTTATTCGTTTACAGTTTACACTTTACACCCAAGCTTCATTTTCTGCGTTCCGACACCACGTGTTTGTCTCGACAAGTCCGATTTCGATTTTGGATAAGTTCTTCAGGTTCAGATCGCTTAAATTGGTCAGAGATGGGACGAAAGGCTTTGTTTGATGAGAAGAAGGAGCAAAAAAAAGGCCCAGGGAGGAAGGCGAAGAAACAGAAAGACCCCACGTTTCCTTTCCCGTTAGGTGTGTATTGAATTTTTCTTTTTTTCTCCAAAAGTTTCACGTTCACTTTGCTCCAGATAACAAGAGGGACAAGCCTTTGAGTAGCAATCAAAAGCAGAGGGCGAAGAAAAGGCAAATCAAGGAGAAACTGAAACAAAAGCTGGCTCTGAAAAAAGCAGAAAAGACTAACCTTAAGGACAAGCAGCCAAAGAAGGAACTGACAGAAAAGAAATTGTTTAAAAAATCTTACAGTGAGTCTGATTTAATTTTTATTCTATTTAAGGCAAGTCTTTGACTTTACCTGTCAAGTGGTCGTTGATCCAGCAATAGTACCATTTATAAGATCTTATTTTTTAATTTTTTAAATAAGTTTCTGCTCAGGAAACCAGTCTACTGGCATCTTAGTTTCTTACGAACCCTCTGGGGACTGTAACAGTATTGCGATATATCTGCACCAGTGGTCCCTACGGACCCCCTCAATATCATTCAGGGGGTCCATGAAAAATGAAAATTGATTTGGGGTGTCTGAACAACGTCAGGGGGTCTGCGCAAGGTTTAATATAAAATAATATAATATAAAATATAATATAAAACAGAATTACGTTGGTTATCTAAAAGTGCATGTTTAGATTGATTTTATGTGCTCTTTGATTCAGTGTTGGAATTCTTGGAACGCAAAGGCAATGATTTTCGACACAATTTAATTAACTCAAAAAATGACATAGCCTGTATGACAGATTTAAATTTGCCAAATTGAACTAATTTGAGACTCTCAAGGTGACCAATTAAATTTAATCCAAACTAAAAGCGTAATATCTGCATTTGTTGCAAAACTTTTTTTCTGTACAAACAAAACTTGGGAAGAGGAGATTGTTCTCAGTTTCCAAATCTTTCGAAGTGGCAAATTAGAGATGAAGATTTGCTTGCTTATGTCAACACTTAACGGCTCTTCATACAGACCTGAACCAAAGATTTGAAGACATTCTTCACTTGTATATTTCCGACTGGGTGTTGAACCCTTTTGCGCGTGGACGAACTCAGTTCCCAAACAGGTGAATCCATACTAATACAGGAGCAGCTTATTGATATATCCACAAATGACGAACTTAAACCAATGTTTGAACAAGGATACCACAAATTCTGGTTACAAAAATATATCCCAATTTTATATCCTGCATTACGGGTTATTGTACAAAAGTTGTTAACTGTTTTCCCATCTTCCTATTTGGTCGAATGTGGATTCAGTGCCGTTATGAACTACATCACAAAAAAAAAAACTAGAAATTAGTGCTCGTGGGGATTTGCGGTTGCTACTCAGAAACATTGAGCTGGACATATACAGGGTGAGTCATTTTTTGACGCACCTTTCGAAAATCAACGTGGGTGCGTTTAAATCTGACTCAAGGCCTATTTCTTTTGATTTTAACATTAAAAAAAGGAAGTGAGTCAATTTTCGGTGCACCATAGGAAAATCAACATCGGTGCGTCTAATTATGACTTGGCACATTTTATTTTGTTAGTCTCGTACCAAAAAATAAGCGAGTCACTTTTCGACGCACCATTCGTTACAAATTAGTTTTAGTAGGTTGGAAGGAAAATAAACAAAACCAATATTATTAAAACATTATTCAAACACAATGTAAAAATTAAAAAACAAATTCTTCACAAATTAATTTGATTAAGGTTTAATTTTTTCTGGAAGTAAAAAAATTAAATAAATGTAACAATCTCCTTTGTTAGCAAATCAAAAACGTTCAAAATCATTATAATAATTGTTCGAACAGACCTCCATTTGCTGCAACACAGTAGCCTAGTCTATCGTAAAACGATGATCGGATGAAAAAAATACTCTTAAACCTTAATCAAATTAATTTGTGAAGATTTTTTTTTTTAATTTTTACATTGTGTTTGAATGTTTTAATAATTATAATTAATTAAGGTTTTTAGTTGAGATAAAAAAGTCAATGGCACGAGCGAGATTCAAACCCATGATCTTCGGCTTGATACGCCGCTGCTCTACCACTTGAGCTATCGTGACCTCGATCCACTCGGACACCAACCTCCTATCTCAACTACACCTTTTGAATTTTCCCTCCTTTTTGCCATTTTTCAAATGTCGTGTAATCGGGTTGGATTCTCAACGACAAATGAAATGGCGACGCTCGTGCCATTGACTTTTTATCTCAACTAAAAACCTTAATTAATTGTAATATATTAATTGGTCAAGCGGACCATGAAATTAGTGAATGTTTTAATAATATTGGTTTTGTTTATTTTCCTTCCAACCTACTAAAACTAATTTGTAACGAATGGTGTGTCGAAAAGTGACTCACCTATTTTTTGGTAGGAGACTAACAAAATAAAATGTGCCGAGTCATAATTAGACACACCAACGTTGATTTTCCTATGGTGCACCGAAAATTGACTCACTTTCTTTTATTAACATATTAATCTAAGTAAATAAGCCTCGAGTCAGATTTAAACGCACCCTCGTTGATTTTCCAATGGTGCATCAAAAAATGACTCACCCTGTATACACTAAACATCTCATCACGTTCATCCCAGTCATTAATTGTTTTATATTTTATTTTAAACAAAAGTAATTAACATTATAATTTATATATATTTATAATTTCAATAAATACTTCTTCAACAAAATGTATTCACTTGGGGGTCTGTGGGCAATTTTTGGCTATAGATAGGGGTCCATGGGACAAAAAAGTTTGGGTACCACTGATCTACACAGTCCTTGGCAATGTTGGGACTAATACCGAAATCGTAATTTTCACCTTCATTAGACCCCACTAGACCAACCCGAAAGTGATGATGGTGAAAAGCTGAAATATGTCAGCTAAACCGCAGATCAAATAGCAACGATAGGCATAGTAGAAACGATAGGAAATGATGAAACAACCGCATATTTTCTATCGTTAGATCCAAGAGCCTGACTGTCCAACTTTCTTGGTTTTGAAGTAGTTGTATATCTTTTTAAAAATGTAGTGTTTTCCAAATTTGGCCATCTTTTTAGACAATTTTGGCCGTCAGACATTTCTGGTATGGTTGTTTCAGATTCGAAATTTTATACTGTATGGCACAACCCAAAACATTGTGTAATCAGTCTACTGCTATTAACTTTGTGATGTGAGCTTTTTCTAACATTTTCCATTGATCGAATTTTACAATAGATTGTAGAGGACCACGGTGCCGAGAAGTGTCGGCATAAAAAAAGATATATGCATGATAATTTTTCAATCCAAAGAAAATCTAGATTGTATACAATTATTGAAATTTTATAGTATCTTTTGTTCATACCTCACACAAATTTACATGCATAATCACATTAATTACCCAATTATCAAGCAGGACACGTACATTATTTGAAGTTAAACTAGATGTAATGTTTGCAATGATTTTTCAGACTCTGACTCTTCAGAAGGAGAAGAGGAAAATAATAAAGCAGTCACCACTGAGGTAAATGGGGTCAGTGGTTTTACCGATGACAACAAAACATGGCTTAAACCGAAGGCTAAACAAGGGAAGAAAAGAAAAATTGAAGATGAAGGTGAAGACGAAAATTTGGATTATGTATCAGAAGATAGTGATGTTGAGGAATCAGATGATGATGTCTCTGACAGTGAAGACCTTAAAGTAATATTAAATATAATTAATCGAAACAAGGTTGTTTTTATTAATTTTTCAACATTTATTTTGGCAGGTTGGGAAATTAGATGACTTACAAGATAGTGATGAATTAGATGACGACTCATTTGGAGAAGAGGATACTGATGAGAGCGACGAAGAAACGAAGAAAGATGAAGACGATCTATTGCCTATTGAAAAGGCTGCTAAGAAGCTTAAGAAGAAGCAAAAAAAGGAGCAGTATGTTTCTTTTTGTCAATTCCTTTCAACAAATTGTACAGTTTTAATTTTTTTCTATTTATTTTAGAGAGGAAGCCGACAAAGAAATGCAGTTGAACATTGCAAATAGGGAGGTCTTTGCCTTTCCAGAAAATGGAGAAATAGACAAACCAGTTAGTATCGTTGAAGTTGAACAAAGAATAAAAGACAACCTCATGGTTTTATCAAACTTTGCAAAATTCAGGGAAGAGGGAAGGTAAACATGGCCTTAATAATTTTAACATAATTTAGTTTTTCAATTTTTATTAATTGTTTTTAAACCGTATTCTGTAAAATGTTCAGGCCGAGGAGCGAGTATTTAGAATTACTCAAAACAGACCTTTGCAACTACTTCAGCTATAATCGTTTCCTTGTGGAAAAACTCATTGAGCTCTTTCCCCTGACCGATCTTATGGATTTCCTAGAGGCCTCAGAGATCCAAAGGCCGTTGACAGTGAGAGTCAACACGTTGAAAACAAGAAGAAGGGATTTGGCTCAAGTAGGTTTTGACCTTTTTCTAATCCATTAAATAAAGTTAAATTTTGTAATTTTATTTTCCAGGCGTTAATTGCTAGAGGGGTAAATCTCGATCCTGTCGGAAAATGGTCCAAAGTCGGTTTAGTCATCTATAACTCACCCGTTCCTGTTGGTGCTACACCTGAATATTTAGCAGGACACTATATCATTCAAGTATGGTTTTTATTGTGAGTTTTTATTTTAACAATTGCTTTATTAATTATTATTTTTGTTTTTAGGGTGCTTCTAGTTTGCTACCCGTTATGGCTCTTGCACCACAAGAAGGGGAAAAAATCCTTGACATGTGCGCAGCACCAGGAGGCAAAGCTTCTCACATTGGTAAAAAAAATCCTTTTTTTTTTAATTTACTTTAATCTTTCCTTGCTGACTTATTTTCTGTTATTTTCAGCTGCCATTATGAAAAATACAGGTGTCTTATTTGCTAACGATTTTTCAAAAGACAGAGCAAAAGCCATCGTTGGAAACTTTCACAGGATGGGAATTATTAACTCCATCATCTGCAGCTATGACGGTCGTAAATTTACAAAGGTAATGAAAGGTTTTGACAGAGTCTTGTTGGACGCTCCGTGTTCAGGAACGGGTATAATTTCGAAAGATCCAAGCGTGAAAACAAGTAAAGATGAAACGGATATACAAAGGTGCTGTACTCTTCAAAAATCACTAATATTAGAAGCAATTGACTGTCTTGATTTCAAATCCGAATCTGGAGGTTATTTAGTATATTCTACATGTTCTATACTTGTAAGTAATAAAATAAAGAAATAAATAATTTTGTTTCTTAATTCTTGGCATTGTGCATTGCAGCCTGAAGAAAACGAGTGGGTTATAGATTATGCATTGAAAAAGCGAGATGTAAAGTTGGTACCTACTGGCCTAGATTTTGGTACGCCAGGTTTCACAAACTACAGGAACTTTAGGTTCCACCCATCCATGAATCTGACACGTCGTTTCTACCCTCATACTCACAACATGGACGGCTTCTTTGTAGCGAAACTTAAAAAACTTTCAAATACTATTAAAAAAGTCGATGGAGAGGAAGAAAAGACAGTAGCTGGAGAAGAAGAAATGGTACGTTCAGTATAATTTTACTGTTATTTTTATTCGAAGGGATTTAATTGCGATAAAAAAAATATGAGTATTTACAATATGTGTTAGATGTTAATGCTTGCTAAGACAAGACGAAAATGATGGTAAGATTTTGAATGCCCCTTTTCTTAGAAGTTAATTGCTAGTATTCCACCGTAATTGCTTTACATTACTAGTAGAACCAAAAACTGATGTCAAAGGTATAAAGTATAAGGTATATAAGATTTATTATTGTAAAGGTTTTGTGTTCAGTTGATTTTTTTTTTTTTTTTTCAAAATGCCAAAAGTCAGTTGAAAGATAAGACTAATCAAGTCTTTGATTGAAAATGCACAATTTGATTTGTGTGAAAAATTGTATGTATAAATTGTTGGCCTATTTAAGCAAAGACAAATATCTGAACGGACCAGATAAGAAGGAGATAGATTAGTTCTTAAATCCAGTAATGAACCACCTTACTTAGTTGGATCCATCCTTAAAGCCAGGAACACACTTACCCGATGCTACGCCATGCGATGCCTTGCCACGTTTTGATGGGGTGTGCACATCTATCCGACGCAAGCACACGTCACATACAGTCCACAGCGTTTATCACAATAATCACTATCACAATCGCAACGCATCTTTTGCTCTTAATGCACTATTTTGAGCAAAACCTTATAATAAATTGTTAGTTAAATTCATTATATCAAAAAATCGCATTCCAGTGTTTTGATTAATTTTTAATCACAGTTAATTTGGTTTATATTAAAATAAGTATGTTGTAATTAATATAACGACAATAATACATGTAGTTTGAATAAAAATATGAGTGTCCGGTTGTTTGGTCTTCGACTGCACTCAATGCGACCCGACGAAAATCTGGATAGTGGGGATCGCAGAGCGTCGGGCAGGTTAGCGTGGCATAGCATCGGGTAGATGTGCACGGGGGAATACAACCTTATGGAAAATCGGAGTTTGGACTTGCGTCGGGTAAGTGTGTTCCCAGCTTAAGTTGGCAAAGGAAGCTACATTGGGTCCAGAAGTCCAGTATGTCAAAATTCCTAAATCTGATATAAAGAGGGTACTAACTAAAAAACTCACAGAAATGGAAAAAGTCGTACGATAGGGATAAGGCAGGTTCTTTTTTTAAGGCTTTCATTCCTGAACCCTGTCCCATTTCATGGATTTTCGCAATGAGTTGGAAGCAAGGTGTTTTTTTGTTTTTTTTTTCTTCGATTGTCAGAATTAGGTCAAATCACTGCATATGTGGGGCTTATCTGAACAGGATTTGTATAAGACCCTCTCCAAATTGTGAAACATGTGATGAACCCGAGACAATTCAACATATTTTGTTGGATTGTCCGGAGTATGAAGAAGCACGAAATGCCACGTTCGATGAATCTTTAGTTGCAAAGAGGTAGAGAAGCCCTTCAATTTTAATAGCCTTATAGGTTCTGAAAATGAAATGGTATTTAAAACATGGTTTGATTTTTTAAATAAAAATAAACTAAAGGCTTAATTACGAATTAATTAATCAATTAATTAATGCAAAATCTGTTTAATTATTAATTTATTAATAATTGACATTGTTACTTATGTAGTAGTATTTATATATTTTTATTAGTAATTTTAATAGTAAGAAAAACAAAGTGTACCAGCTGTATTCTCTTAATTTCAATTATCAATATTTAAATACATTTGTTCGATGTAAATCATTAAAGGTGAACATTGGGTAGGAAAAACCTTGAAATTCTTATAAATTAGTAAACAATTTCCTCTCGTATCAAGACGTTTTTATTTTATTTTCTTGCTTTTTTTTATATTTCAGGAAGCGGAAGACAACGAGGATAGAGAAAATGAAGGACAGGAAAGTGATACTGAGGCAGTCCCCAAAAAGCCGAAATTAAAGGCCCCGAAGCATGGTAGGGGTAAAAATAGAAGCAAAATGGCAGACGTGGAACCGAAGAAATTTGAAAAAAAAGTTAAAGGAAAAGGTCAAGAATTAAGAAACCAAGATAAACAAAATAACAAAAAGGTCCAAGAAAATCAAGGGCAAAAACAAAAGAACGTAGCACAGTTAAAAGAAGCTCCGAAAAGTCCTAAAAGCTCTCCAAAAAAACGGAAATTAGAAAAAGGTCAACAAAAACAAGAGGGACCAAAGGAAAAAATGGAAAAAACAAACAGTGAGAAAGAACCAAGTGAAACAGGCGATAGTTCAAAATCGGCCAAAATGAAACTCAAGAAGAAAAATAAAAACAAACAAAAACAAAAGAACGTAGCACAGTTAAAAGAAGCTCCGAAAAGTCCAAAAAGCTCACCTGAGGGAGGAGCTCAACAGACAAGCCCTGTTAGTGATAAACAAATTCCTCAACAACCAAGCCCTGGTGGTAATAAACCATCTCCTCAACAGCCAAGCCCTGGTGGTAATAAACAATCTCCTCAACAGCCAAGCCCTGGTAATAAACAAACCCCTGCAAAAAATAAATTAAGATTCAAAAACAAAAATAAAAAACAGTCAATTTCAACTTCGCCAGGACCCGATAAGACTGAAGATAAAAAAAGCCAAGAGGGGAAAGTAAATAAAAAGGCACAGACAAAAGGCCAGAGTCCAAAAACAAACAAACCGACTCTCCAAGTCCCAAAAACCCCAGACACTGTGAATAAAAGCCCGAAGAAAAAGAGGAAATCGAATGCCAGCAATTAATTACATTTGTGATTATTAGGTATTGTAAATATGTGTTTTATTAAAACTTTGCTTTTAATTTACACCAACATGTCTTAAAAATTATCATTTTTTACAGCAATTAAGCCATTGTTGTTTTTATTTTAATATAATGTTTTAAAACATTGAATAGACTTGTGATTTACTTTCTGTATTTTTTTTTTTTTTTTTTTTTTATACCCAACACTCAAAATATTCAGTTAAATTCTAGTGGTACTAAGGCAAGTGCTCAGTTTTATAGGAATGCTTTCCAAGATATGGCTGTAAGGCAAAGTGGTTCCACAATAGACCTGCTTAGGTTTAAGTTTAGGAGGAGGAAAGAAATATATTCTACATCAACTCCCCCCCCCCCAAAAAAAAAAATATATATAAAGTAGTCTAATTGACCATTTTTAATTGTTTCGATTAATTATTCTTTTTATGTGAGGTCTTGGTTGAGATGAACGATGTGATATTTGAAAAATGGCAAAAAGAGGGAAAATTCTAAAGGTTGTAGGTTGAATCGGGGAGTTGGTGTCCGAGTGGATCGAAGTCACGATAGCTCAAGTGGTTAGAGCAGCAGCATATTGAGCCGAAGGTCAAGGATTCGAATCCCGCTCATGGCACTAACTTTTTCACCTCAACTAAGACCTAACATAAAAACAAAAATTAATTGAAATAATATTGAAAAACATTGAATAGACTTGTGATTTACTTTTGTATTTTTAATTTTTTTAAACCTAAGACAGAAAATATGCAGTTAAATTCTAGCCAAATCTATATCTCTTAAAATCACCTCTCAAACAAATTTGAAACTTAAAATGGTACAACTTAAAAATATCAAACCACCAGAATAGAAAAAATGCTTAACAGAAATCAAATAGTTTGAGGTGGTTTTTATCAACTGAAACAAAGTTTTAAAGAAGTTATACTATTCTTCTTTTTCTTGGTTTAATGGATCAGCACAAATAAATTTCTTTAATATTATATCTTCTTTTTCTTGGTTTACTGGACAGGCACTAATGAACCTCTTTAATACTATATATATTCTGTTTATTCATCATTATTCCTAAAGCTCTTAAACATGGGTATTTCTTCTAAGTTTGTGTGTATACTTAAATGCTTTTATGCCTCGGGAGCTTCAGCGGTTCGGACCTCAGAAGGAATTTCTAATACTTCAGAATGGGGACTGGAGTAAGACAAGGCTGTGTGCTATTTTATGTTATTTGCCCTTTTTGTGGACGATATTGTTAATATACTAGAAGGAGGAATTCTTGTTGGTAATACCAAAATAAAAATATTATATCAGATGATTAGTCCTAATTGCTAAGAGTCCGGCTAGTTTGCAAAATAATATTCGAATTTTTGAGTCCTTTTGTGATCTTTGGAACTTATCTGTAAATTTAAAAAAGTCAAAAATTATGATCTTCCGCAATGGGGGTAAACCGGCAGCCTCTGAAAAATGGTTTTATAAGGGTAACAAAATCCAAGTGGTGATAGGTACAAATACCTGGGTGTTATTTTTACTCCCTATTTCACCATTTTGAAGAAAGAATTTCGGCTGCAAAAACAGGTTTAAACTGTGTCTGGGTAAATCTCTTTCGCAACAAGCTTGTACCGTATGAAACCAAACTAAAAGTTTATAACAGTGTCCTGCACACAGTGGTACGTTATGGCGCTCAAGTATGGGGTTTCCAGAACTAGGAGGTTGTGGAAAAATTTCAACGTTTTTTTGTTAAAAAACTTTTCATCTTACCATCTTTCTCCCCAAATTACATGCTAACACTAGAATCCTGTTTGCCTCATCTATTCTTGTATACCTTTTCCCTCCACCTAAAATATATGTCGAAAGATACTGAGTCAGAAGGTCGACTGACTAAAATAATCGCTCTAGATAACTAGAAAGAATATCTCCTGGTATAATCAATGGGCTTCTCTAGCCCAGAAATACTCATGCCCCTGGCAAAACTCCGGTGTGCAGGAGAATCTCTTGGACATTTTAGTGCTTCCTTACAAAATAAATGAAGTTCATCGAGAAGAAGCTGTGAATAACGTGAAAAGCACAGATAAACAGAGCCTTTCCCAGGACCTTAATATTAGAGTTGGCTATTCAAACTAAGAGGAGAATTGTTATATTCGAAATTCCAACCCTGGGTTTTGAATGATCCTCATGTTGAAACTTGTCCACTTTGTCACAGCCACGCCAGGGAAGATTCATATCACTTTTTGGGAGTCCGCTCTCTTCTCTTAGAATTGCTGCGGGTATCTTACTTGGGAAAGACAGTCATCTCCAGAGTTTAAATACTGTCTTTTTTTTCTTTTTTTTTAATTACATTTATTTGGTATTTACAACTACAAGTGATGTATTCAGTAAATATGTTGAATTATCATTTGAGGCTCTTGTAGGAGAAGTTGCCCAGTGGTAACACTCCTTCACACTGATATCTTGTTCAGTCTTCACTCAATGAGAAGGTCTCGGGGCCACTTTCGCTTCAATCGTCTTGGAGGATTTTCAGGTAGTGATAAATTTCGTACGAATAGATTACTGTGTGTGTTCAGTGATAGATGAAATTTTTTATATCGGGTTTTGATGAGTTCATGTACAAACGAGATGTGTAGGTCTTTATGGATAGTGTAATTTGAAACGTAAAAAGGAGCATTTATAATTTGACGGAGAATTTTAGATTGGATTGATTGGAGACGCTGGGAATTGGAATCCTTGGTTGAGCCCCACACTTCACAACCGTACGCCCAGAGAGGTCTAATCATTGTCTTGTAAATTAAAAGTTTATTTTCAAGGTCTAATTTTGATCGTGAGTCGAGTAGTCTTTTTAACAATTTATAACGTCGGNGGTTCGATCCCCACCGTCGCCTCTGGACTTTTTCTGACGCCTAAGGGGACCGGTGGCCGCAATTGAAAGAAATTGACACGGCACTCATCAATGGAAGGGGCGGGATCGGATCTCAGCGACCCTGAATTTGGTCCCAACCCCCTTCAAAAATGAGTTTCTTCGATGGAAGAACATCGGTACAACGGGGGCTCAAGTTCACATTTGTGTTGCGAGCCCTCCCCCAAAATATGGAGCCGGGGATAAAGTACAATAAGCTGTACAGCTCAGCTGCAGTACTCAGGAGGGAACTCCTCCAGTCCCTGGTATCCATTGAAAAAAAAAAAAAAAAAAAAAACCAAGTATCCTCTTTACCGCTAATTTCCTTTGCTCGGCACGCCTGGAGAGTGAGATACGAGTGGCTTTCAGATATGCAATAATTGTCCCTGTACATATATACTTTTACTTTTACTGCTTTGTTTTTGGTACTCTTTCAGTTCTCAAGAGGTAGTTTGTTCTTATTTAATTCTTTTTGTTTTCTTCTTTTTTCTCATGTTTCCATCTATTGTAGTTCATACACCTGTTATATGTAAATTTACTATTCGAATTTCTTTTGTTTTAATATTTCTGTATTTGTAAGCTTTCTTATGCAATAAACTCAGCAGACGGCTACTAGCCATGCTTATTATACTTTGTATCAGTATTTCTATTTTTTGTTTGTATCAATTATAATAATGTATTGTGTATTGTATTCTTCTGTTCCTTGGTTTACTTGGTTTACTGTATTAGGCCCAATACGCTTACATTAGTAATAAAGTCGTTTTTAATAAGAAAAGCTAGATATTTCAAAAGGGAAAATGTGCGTGTTTGTCTGTCTTGACAGATCGCATGACAACCTCGTCTGTTATTCGGCAAAGACGCGTTCCAGGGGGTGTAAACAATTCCCCCTCTCGGTCGATGGCGTCCTCTTGCAAAACGGCGATTCCTTCTATTCTTCAGATGCCGTGAAGACCGTTTGTGACTCGTTACCGCGGAGTCTCGCTTGAAAAATAAAACGCGATATTTTCAATCTTGCAATCCTTTTGGATTTTTTTCCTGCGTTTTTCTTGTGGAGTAGGGAGGAAAATCAGCCCTATTTTCGAAACAGCTAAGGTGAGTTTTTCTTATTTCTGTGTTTCTTAAGGCATATTCAAACATCGATGGATTAAACTTAAATATTTTAATCGTGTTTCTTAAGAAAATTTAAAAAAACTATTCCATCAATAGAAAATTTTTACAACGAAATAAACACAAGACAGGAAGACATTGATGACTTGATTACCTTAAGAAGTCCATTCTTGTGTTTCTTGAATTAAAATCTTTAAATTGTCGCGTCCTGTATATTGCCAGGTTTTAAATTTTAAATCCGTATTTTTCTATTTCAATACGTCAGACAGCAGCAAAAAAATCGTATAGAAAATTTATTTAGATCCCTGATAGATTTTTACAAGCTTCAACCCTAATTAACCCGGGATTTCAGCGTACAAAACTATTTAAAAAATTATAGAAATATGAACAAAAACAAGCAAATTGTACCAGAAGAATGTGTCTAAAAGCCAACAGCAAGTATATCTTAATCAAATAAAAAAATATCTAAAACATCAAACAAGAATTATCTTCCCTAAAAGTACGACTGGACTGAATAAATGTCAAAATAAAAAGAGAGGATTTGTCAATTTTGAAATTATTTCACACAAGAAAGCGCGGGCTAAACATTTGAGAAATGCATTTAAAAATAGCTCAGAGAGACAATGTAATTGAGCCAAGAAAGTCATAATTTTTTCAAATTATTGAAAACCGTTTTAAAAATATTAAAGAGACTCAAAAGATTAAAACCCTGTCTCGATAATAATCGTCTTGAACCGTGTTGACTTTTTTTTGGGCAATTTAACTCCATCACACGACAGAAATAGAATACAAGTGAAAGTAGTAGCCGAAAGGAACTTGAAAATATTCAACGCACACTGGCGTAAAGAAGACAGTGGACGTTTACAAATTCAACAAGTCACGTTTAATCCATAAATACAAATACATTATTATATAAAGCAAAAAAGTCCACTGATAATAATTTTCTCGTTTGCTGTTCTGTATATAACGATAATTCAGTTTCTCATATTCGCCATGGGAACTAGATTCATTATGAGAACTTTATGTTGTAAAAGCTTATTTCCATTTTGTAAATAGGCGTCTTGCATCATTTAACACTGTTCCTGGGCGAACAATAAGTTTAATCAATTTAATATTTAATTTAATGTTCTACTCTTCTTTACTTCCTGGTTATTAG